CACCTGCAAGCTGGGCCCCTTTGGGGAAATCCCATCCTGACTGGGCCTTGACCAAAGTTAGGCTCTAGATGCAGGGATGCTTAAGGAGTAATGAGGCAAAAGTGGGAAAGAAGATCTCCATGGCCATGCACCTGAGCTGCTCTCAGAGGAGGAGGGCCCCGCCATCGGAAAGAGCTGATGCCTCTCCTTCCGCTATTCTCCTACACATCGGCCCTCATGACCGTTCGTCCCTGCCTCCTCCCTGGTCCCTCAGGCCTCACTGTGCCTATTCCCTCATGTTACTTGTCCCTACAGGCCTCGAACCCTCTGTGGCAATCCCGGGGCTCCACCACCGTGTCTTCGGGAGGCCGTTTCCGCTGCCCATCTTGCAGGCATGAGGTTGTCCTGGACAGACATGGTGTCTATGGCCTGCAGAGAAACCTGCTAGTGGAGAACATCATCGACATTTACAAGCAGGAGTCTTCCCGGTGAGCCGTCAGGACCTCTTGTCCCTCTAAGGAGCAGGGCCTGGCACACAGTGGGGGAACCCATCAGCCAAAAGGGAAGGGCTGAGAGGATCAGTTTAGAGATCAGAGGCCTGGACCCTGGGACGCCCCACACTCACGGGATGCACCTCCCTGCAGCCTGGCCCCTGACCCTCCTGCCACCCCACCCGCTCCCCTCCAGGCCACTGCACTCCAAGGCTGAGCAGCACCTCATGTGCGAGGAGCACGAAGAAGAGAAGATCAACATCTACTGCCTGAGCTGTGAAGTGCCCACCTGCTCTCTCTGTAAGGTCTTTGGCGCCCACAAGGACTGTGAGGTGGCCCCGTTGCCCACCATTTACAAACGCCAGAAGGTACCAAGCAGCAGAGGGAACAGGCATGGTGAGGTGGGGACAGGGGACAGGTCTCCAACTGCAGCCTCTCACTCCACTTGGTTTTTAAAGGCTGGCAGATCAGGGCTACCGTCCCAGTTCTGGGCATGACTCAGTGTGTCCGTGACTAAGTCACCTGACCTCTCTGGCCCTGACTTTCCTCGCTTGTAAAATGGGGATGAAAATGCCAACTTCCGAAGTTGTTTTAAGATACAATTAGATAATGGATACCAGCAACTTCAGCTTGGTGGCCGAGGTGCTCTCCAGGCCCTCTCACTACCACACAACTACATTTGACCTAAAACATAATTTAAAACTTATATCAGTGGGGTGCCTGGATGGCTCAGTCAGTTGAGTCATTATTTTGTCTCAGGTCATGATCTCAGGGCTGTGAGATTGAGCTGCATATCGGGGTCTGCACCCAGCGCTGAGTCTGCTTGAGATCCTCTCCCTCTGCCCCTCCCTCTGCCCACGATCTTGCTCTCTGTCTCTCTCATAAATTAAATAAATCTTTTTAAAAAATAAAATAGAAACTATATCAGAGGGCAAATGCTGGCAGTATTCCTGAGCTAGAGAGATGAGACTATGTCTTCAGACCCCTGAAATGTGGACACCTGACCTGAAGACCCCCACGAATCCCAGGTTAAACTGGAATCTCAGGAACCAAGGTGGTCAGAAGTGCCGCCTGGCTTTTGACAAAAGTGAATGCAGAATCTGCCTAGAGGGAAACCCCCTCAATTTAGGCCCTTGGGTTCTCCTTAGATTAAGAAAAACAAAATATTAATTCAAAAGTGAAGATAGAGAGAAGTGTACCCCATGAGTGAAGTTAGTGGAAAGAAAAATTACAGATTAAACCCGTGAGGAATTCATATAATGGAATTATTAAAGACTTGAGAGTCACTGGGTATAAAATGCTTTCTTAAAAAGATGGAATAAAGCCCCAGCAATACTAGATTACCAAACATGCAGATTTAACAAAAAGCCAAATAGAGCTTTTAAAAATTAAAATGTGGTTGTTGAAATAAAACATTGAAAAGGTGAATTAAATGGCAGATTCCTCTGAAGAGAGAATTAGCGAACAGGAAGGTGGGCCTGAAAAAGCAGCCTAGGATGCAGCACAGGGGGATGAGAAGGGTGAGCACATATGTCTTCTCCTCAGAGTCACAGAATGAGAAAACAAAGAGGATGGAGAAGAGGCAATAGTATCCTAACAGATAATTACGAAGAAGCTTTCCGAATTGATGGAAGGCATGAATCTACAGATGAAGCATTCAGCCCAGAGCCTGGCATTTGGTGGATATTTGGCAAATGTCTTTCTCCTTTGGTGGTGGAGGCCCTCCTCTTTCCACCTCCTTCCAGAATCCATAAATATGCTTCCACACTTCTTGGATGGTTCCAAGCCATCTAGATCTCTGGAATGGCTGCTCTGATGGTGGGGCGGAGAGGCAGTCCTCTCCTAGGCGGCCCTGGCTGGGAAGGGGGTGGGGAGGACAGCTCTAGACAGGGTCCTCCAGCTCTAAGGGCTGGCCTGTTGTGTGGCAGAGTGAGCTCAGCGATGGCATCGCGATGCTGGTGGCGGGCAATGACCGTGTGCAAGCAGTGATCACACAGATGGAGGAAGTGTGCCAGACCATCGAGGTGAGCCTGGGATGGGAGGGAGGGGAAATTTCTGGGTTCCTGGGGGGTGAATCACAAGTAGTGGGATATAGGTTTGAGTCCCAGCTGTGCCCCCCGGCTCTGTGACTTTGGTCCAGTTACTTCACTTCTCTGTGCTTTGCTGATTATGAGAATGATATGATGACTACTTCGCTGGACATTTTTGAGAATTAAATGAGATTATACAAGTAAAAACTAGGGCCAGAGATACCCCTGAAGTACTTTAAAATATTGTATTTGCTAAAGAGAGAAAATCTTAAAAGTTTTCGCAAGAAAAATATTATAACTGTAGTGACAGTGGTAACTAGACTTGTGATCATTTCACAATATCTACAAATACGGGATCACTACATTGTACACCGGAAACTAATATAATGTTAAAAGTCAATTATATCTCAATTTAAAAAAAAAAATCTAGAAATTGTTGTTACTGAAAAGACCTGGGAACGAGCAGCCCTTGGCTGCAGTTGTGGCTCGGCCACTGTGTGTGGGGAACTTTCCTTGGCTGTCTGTGGCTCCCATTAAGTGGGGAGTGGGACAAGTAGGTGAGTGCTCTCCCAGCTAGAGGTCTCATCCTGGCTCCCCTCGTTCAGGACAACAGCCGGAGGCAGAAGCAGTTGCTTAACCAGAGGTTCGAGGCCCTGTGTTCGGTGCTGGAGGAGCGCAAGACTGAGCTGCTGCAGGCGCTGGCCCGCGAGCAGGAGGAGAAGCTGCAGCGCGTCCGGGGCCTCATCCGCCAGTATGGAGACCACCTGGAAGCTTCCTCCAAGCTCGTGGAGTCCGCCATCCAGTCCATGGAGGAGCCACAGATGGCGCTGTACCTGCAGGTGGGCCCTGGCGGAGGGAGGCGGGCCGCAGAGTGGCTGCTGTGGGGGCCTCGGTACCCCGAGGGCTGGGCTCCGGTCTCCTCTCTGGCTCCCGCTTGCCCCACGGCCTTGGGCAGGTCACCCCGCCTGAGTCCGTTTTCTCGTCAACGAACCGGGATATGCATCCCCGCCTACCCCTCAGGACTGTGGGCACCAGAAATGGGACTTTGCCAGCGCTTGGCACGGTGCTTACGCTCACCCTCCTTTCTTCCCTGCAGCAGGCCAAGGAGCTGATCAATAAGTGAGTAGGCGGAGCGGGCAGGGCAGGGGCTGTGTGGGCTCTGCCGCCACGCGCCGGGGCTTGAGGGTGCTGGGGCCGGTCCAGCTGAGCGGCTGCCGCGCCGCAGGGTCAGGGCAATGTCGAAAGTGGAGCTGGCAGGACGGCCAGAGCCGGGCTACGAAAGCATGGAGCAGTTCACCGTGAGCGTGGAGCACGTGGCCGAAATGCTGAGGACCATCGACTTCCAGCCGGGTGAGGGGGTGAGGATGGGAGGGGGCGGCGGGCCGCTGGGACTGGGCGTCCCGAGGGCACGCGGCAGGGGGGGGTGCGTCACGGCCCGAGAAGCGGGGACCCCACCTCACGGGGCCTTCCTTGGGGCTAGGCGCTTCCGGGGAGGAAGAGGATGAGGAGGTGGCATTGGACGGGGAAGAGGGCAGCGCAGGGCCTGAGGAAGAGCGGCCGGAAGGTGAGTGCGGCCCGAGGCGCCTGGCGGGGCTGGCCCTACGCTCAGGTCCGCTCTTCTGTGATGCCTTCCTGCGGCCCCAGGGATGGCTGCAGGCCTCGGCTCCTGAAGCGTGTCCCCGCCCCAGCGGGGGGGGGGCGCCCCCTAGCGCGCGTGCGGAAGTACACTCTCTTTCCCACCAGCCTTTCCTGGGGGCTCTGGGAGACCAGGTTGGGTCGGGCCGTAGAGGAGAAAGCCACTTGGCTGGGGGAAAGGGGTGAGTTGGGGTTCGGAGCTGACTTGTTCCCGTGGAGCGCCCGCCCACCGAGCTTTCTTTCCCAGGCACAGGCGGGCACTGACCCGTCCCCTCGTGGAGAGCCCGCGCACCTGGGGCCTGGCGCTGGGGTCGCGGAGGACTTGCGCTGAGACCGCCGCGCCACTCAGCTCGGCGGCCCGCCGCGGGGGAGGGGCTCAATAAAGGGCTAATGCGTCCAGAACCGCAGCTCCGTTCACTGCTCACTCTCAGCCTCGGCTTCGGAGGCGACCCCATCACCATCCTGCCCTTCTCCGGATCTGGGACCATTTGAGGGGCGGAAGTGGAATGACCCCCGTGGGGCATCTCCTTTATATCAAGCACGGGTTCGCGAGCCCAGTGCCAAGGGAAGAGGGTCGGGGTGGGGCGGCGGCACCAGGACTTTGAGTTCCTGGGGTTCGATGGCACAGGACCCCCCGGCTGAAAGCCTTTCTGCCGGAGTCCTCGTGGAGCATCCGGTACCCTCTCGCCGGCCTGGGAGGCCACACTTTTCCACGGGCTCCCACCCTGCTGTGCTTCCCCGCGCCCCACAACCGAGGCTAAAGGCTCTTCAGCACTTTTATTAAAAATTGGTGACGCACAGAGTGCTCCGGGCAATCCCTGGGCTGCTCTAGCCCGCGGGACTGGGTCACTTCCAGTCGCGCACGTCCCGGCCCGGGGGTGGGGGACGGGGGTCGAGGTTCTCGTGGCTGCAGACCCCGCCGATCACTTGCCCACAGACTCGAATATGATGCGGTTCTGCTCGGCGCGCTCCCGCTGGCTCTGTGTCCGCGCCAGCTCCAGCAGGGTCCGCAGCAGGTGGAAGGTGAGATCAATGGACAGCGGAGGGTCGTCCCGTCTCGGCCGCTCGCCCGCGGTCCGGGATTCCCACCGGTCGGGCCCCCCGCGGCGCGGGAAGCGCTCGGCCAGCAGCAAGAGCAGCGCGCGGGCCCCGCTGTCCTGGTTCCGCGGCCCGGGGCTCCAGCGCAGACTCGGGTCCCGGACCCCGGCCGCCGCCGCCTCCGGGCTCCACCGGCTGCTCCCCGGGCGCAGCTGTGCCAGGAGCAGCAGCGCCACCAGCAGCGCCGCGCGTCCCCCCTGCTTCATGGTGCCGCCGACCCTGGACACACAGGGGTAGCGCAGGGTGAGGTGCGCCCGGGGCAGTCGCAGGTGGCACCACTCCCCTTCCCGTGCGCATCCAGCTCCCCTGCCGGGCCCCTGTGCCTGCCGCCTGGTACCCACAGCCTTCCCTCCAGCCCCAGCCGCTGCCCAGCCCGCTCCTCCCTCTCCCTTTCTCCCTCTCTCCCCTTGGGCGAGCGGTGGTGGGTGAGCTGAGCACCAAGTCCTGGTGCTGAGGGAGTCAGGGCGGATGCTCCGAGCCACTCACAGGTTGCCAGAGAGTGTCTGAACGCCGCAGGACGGGGCTCCAGTCTCTGTCCCTCGGGCGGGCTGAGGGCGCCGTGGGGACCACGGGGTCTGTCCCGGGACCGCCGCCAGCCTTATATAGCTCCAGGACAGCTCCGACTGACGTCAGCGAGGAACATGCACGGATTGTAGAAGCAGTGACGGCCGCAGCCTCAAGTCCACCACTTGCAAGACCCAGAGGGGCGCACCTCAGAACCTGACTCTGGGTCCTGGGGCCAGCGCTGCAAGCGGCCCCTGCCTTAAGAGAGCAAGAAGCTGCTGGGGCGTAACCCTTGCTCTGGGAGCCACGAGAGTCCTTTAACTGCTTACAACAGCCAGCAGGGACTAGGCCCAGTCCCCAGATCAGACCAGTCAGGTGGCCAGGTTTCTGTGGCACACAGAAGAGAGGCTGGACCTCACGGCTGCCGGTGGCGCCCACCCTGCTGTTGGCCTCTAGAAGGGGCCAGAGGCATTGGGAGACGGTTGTGCTGCTCAGACCCAGTCCCTAGTCCCCGCTGTCAGTTCGGCCAACAGAGGCACTCAGGAGCACAGGCGGCTCCCAGCTCACGCTCTGGTACCACCCTAGAGGCAGCGAGGCGGCAAGGCAGTCCCCCACTGCCAGGATGCTTGGTCTTATTCCAGCCCCGTGGTCTAAATTCTAGGCCGGTCTGCCGAGGCACTACTGGAGAGCCTCTGGCCTCTGGGTGCTTTCGGACTACAAAAGGCAGATCCATCTGCTGCTGAGTTTGTCCCAAAGTGGTATTTTCGCTGTTAGTTTTTCTTCTGGGAATCATAGCTGCAGTATTACTGTACCTCTGACCTTCAGTTAAGATCACTTGGTAGGAAGTAAGGGACCTTGTCTTAGTCTCTTCACACTGCTATACCAAAAGTACTATCAACTAGGTATCTTATAAACAGCAAACATTTATTTCTCACAGTTCTAGAAGCCAGGAGGTCCAAGCCCATGGCGCTGGTAGATGTGGTACTGGGTGGGAAGTCACTCACTAACTTTCATAGACAGCACCTTCTCGTTGTGTCCCCACATGGTGGGAGGGGTGAGGGATCTGTCTGGGGCTGTTTTAAAAGGGCACGAATCCCTCATGACCTAATCATCTCCAAAGGCCCCCACCGCCTAATGCCATCACCGTGGGCATTAGGTTTTCAACAGATGAATTCTGGTGGAGACACCAACATTCATCTATAGCATGTGGGTTCCGGTTTCCACTCTGCCACTGGTCGGTGGTGTGGACAGGTCACCTCACTTGTGTGGACTTCAGCGTGCTCATCTGTAGGGGAAGATCAGGACTGGTTGTCTCTAGACTTCTTTCCGGCTCTAGAAATTCTGACTGCCCCACAGGTTTCTGCTGGGCCCTCCACATCGCCTCTGCAGGTTTCAGACTACATACATACATAACCGATCTGCAGAGGCACCATATAAGGCTTTGGGGCCCCCAAAGAGCCGGAGCTCCAGCTGGGCTGGGAAAGTTAGAGAGCAGATGTACCTGTGAAGAGTGGGGGCGAGGGCGCTCTGGGATACGGGTGTGAGCTACAGCGGACGAGACCATACGTATTTATGGAGTGCCTACCATGTGGTGGGATGAGACCATTATAAAGGTTGTAATGATTTCACAAGGAGCCAGGTGCTCAGCCCATTAAGTTCTGAGTGGCCACGGAACCCCAGGAAAAGCGATGTGCCCACTTCAGGGAGGCCGTGCGACCGCGCTGGGGTCAAGCTGCAGCACCGCCCGCGCAGACACCGGGGTGAGGCCAGCCTAGAGCCGGTGGGCCTTCCACGACAGGTAGGAGTTCCAGATGACCGCGACACACTGGACAACAGCCAACCTACGGAACAGGGGCGGCGGTGGCGGCGTGAGGGCGATGGAGAATGAAGAGCAAGCATTGGCGGGGGGCGGGGGCGGGGAGCTGGACAAGTGCTACGGATAAGGAGGGCTTGTCCCTGAGAACGTCCACACCGAGCTCTCCTTCCTTCAGCCCCGAGGGAGGGACGGGCGGCTCGGACCAGAGGACAAGCAGGCCGGGTTCTGGGGCTGCCCGAGCTCTGTCTCCGGGACAAGAGCCTCAGAGTGGAACATGCTCATCTCACCAAGTGTGGCCCTTAATCATGCCTGTGCAGGCTCCTTCCGAACACATGTCTCTGTGCACCTTTACCAGCTGAAGAGATTTGATCTTCCAAAAACGTCCTGCCTGCCATGAAGAGTAGCACCTCCTTCTCTTTACTGTCAATTTACCTTTCTCTAGTTTCAAAGAGTGTCGCAGGGACCCTAGTGTTGAGGAGCTGGTCCACAAATCTTCCCCTAAGCTATGCTGTTCAGAGTCCCCTCTGAAGCGTTTCGTATTGTTCCCTGTTCCCAATGCCCTTTCACCCCCAACAATTTTACCTACTCATCTGGAGTTCCACTGTATTTTCTACTGTGGTTTCGGCAACTACCTTTTTTATTGAGGTAGACTGGTACTCTGCAGTGGACTAACAGGCCTAGGTTCCTCCCGGGCCCTTTCGTCTGCCTAGGCTGCTGCCCCCCAGGCACTGTCCCTGCAGCCCTGCCATCAAAGGGGAGAGCTCAGGCGGGATGGAGACGGAGCAGTGAGCAGGAGCCTCTTCAGGAAGATGAAAGAAGGTCAGTGGGCAGGTTCTGGGATAGGTTCTCTAAAGAATAAGAAGTTCTGAAGAGAATGCTCAAGAGTCTGAGGAACTCTGCTCAGGGCAGGGTTCTGGGAGGGTCAAAAGTGATTCAAGGTTGAAAGGAGAATCACCGTGTGTCCAGCTGTTTGTGATGTGCACCTTCCTTGGAGAGTGGGGTGAGGATGTGTCTTACCTGTAATGAAGGGGGACCAGGTAGAAGTTGGCTACCTGCACAGCAGGCCAGAGCTACAAGAGAAAGAAGGTTAAGGTTGGGGGGCTGCCTCCCTCGCCCAACCTCCAGACTCGCTGGTCTTCCTCCAGCTTCTGCAGACAAGAACAAGGTGAACGACTGGGTGAGTGCTTCCCTCAGTATGGTGCCCACACTGGGGACGAGAGAGTCACCCCAACTGAGGGGTTTCTCTGGCAGGAGGACCCCCGTCCCTGGGCACTTCCAGACTCAAGAAAACAGGAGAACAGGTAGCTGTGGCGTCAGCGCTTACATAGTAGTTGGTGACAAGGGCGTCAGGATAGTCCTGAGGAGACAAAAGGAACAAACTGACATGCACTCACTTCCACGCAGCGCCCGCCTGCCAGTCTGCAGAGCACACCGGACACAGCGGCTGTTCAAAGACCAGACTCCGACCACAGCCCCCACCCCCCAGCTCCTCTCCTCCCGAGCCTGGGACTCTGGCTGCATCCCACCTGGCTCCTCCCCACAAAGCCGGCCTCACTGCCCTGGGCTGCCGGGCCGCCAGCCGGAGACTGCCCCCACCTGCCCAGCTCACCCGCCGTAGCTTGGCCCAGTTGTCTTGGGCTGACAGGCCATTGAGTGCTCCTACCAGTGGGAGGAAACAGCCCAGAAAACATGGGGCGAAGCCCCCCTAGGGGAGAGAAATTAAAGTTCTGTGAGCACCTAAAGCCCCGCCCTCCCCCAGCACAGCTCATGCTTCCTGAGGCCCTTTTCCTTCTGCTCACCTGATCCAACAGCATCTTCTTTAGTGCATCTACCTTGGTGGTACCGGGGATGAGGCGGTCCAAAACCCTGTACCAGCCTCCTACTACAGGGCCCTGAAAGTAAATCCCAGGGAGGACAGAGGGTGTGCGGTGAGGGGACCGCTTGCCTTTTGCATCACAAAGCTCTTCTCTCAAGGATTAGAAACCAAATCCCAGTGGAAGCAGACGCTCAAGGTTGGCTTAGATGTAAGAGAGGCCAAGGGAAACTAAAGAATGACATGGAACTAGGACCACCGTCCAGTCCTCCAGCAGCCCGGCTGTGGATGGAACTTACCACAAAGCCACAGCCCAGGGAGACCATGATCAGGGTCCGGCCAGCCTGGTGTCCCCGCAGACCTCGCTTCTCCACCAGCTGCTGTGAGATAGTGTCACCCAGGCCCATCAGGGACCCTGCACAGGGGACACAGGTGTTGTCAGGATACCTCCTGGAGATGGGCTGCCATTCCAGGGAGGGAAGGAAGTCCCTAAATGAGGCTCTGACACTCGAAGCCTAAGAGATTAATTCTGGGGCAAATGGCCAGTCCTTTACTGCTGCTTCGAAGTGTCCTGTTAGAAACTGGGAGGAGCAGCCTTGATGAGGCTGGGGCCCAGAGACTCTGCACAGAGTCCTAAAGGGAAGTCACAGTCAGAGACTGCAGATAAGGAGAATCTAAGGTGCTTGGGGCTGAGAATCATGGACTATCAGAATTGGAAAAGCCTTCCAGATAATTCCATCCAAACTCCTTATTTTTGAGGTATGGAAATGAAGGTCTGGGACCTCACATAACCAGTAAGTGGCAGAATCAAGGCAAGAACCAGGTGGCTTGATTTCCTACACAGTGATTTTTCCAGGACCCGTACTGTAAATAGATCATGTGTAGAATGGTAAGGAGCCCTGGGGTTTTTCCCCCAGTCCCAGGCAAGACCCTGGAAAGTGTCCTTCACCTTGGTCTTGGGGTCTCTCTTTGTGAAGGACAGCAAGAATAATTCTTCTTCTAAAGCATGAGTGCTTACATGGTCCCAGGCAGGAAGATGACTGGCTGAACTGGTAAGAGTCCCCACAAGGAGGAGTCCTGGTCACCTCCTAGCACAATCAGGTAAACCCAGACTACCCCCCACATTCACAACCTCAGACAGAGCGAACAATAGATATTATAGCCATTTCCCATCCCCACCCCCCAGGTCTTTGTACCTGCTTCCCCTTCCCTCACTCAGAGACACCCCGTCCCAAGCAACCCTAGTCAGACACCCACACCCAGAAACCAAGATAGAAACTGTCACTATTTACAGAGCCCCCCATCAGTTACAGTGGCGTGATGGTTTCCAGCAAACACACACACACAGGGTCACTTGGGAGTGACCAGATGATCTTCGGCTCGCCTGTCTGTCTCACTGAGTAATGAGAGCCCCTCTCCAGCCCCACAGCCACCACTGTCCCTGTGCCCTCAATTAGCACTGGGCAAACACATCCTTTAACCCTAGTCCTTGGTACAGAGCGGGCTCTGACGTCCATGCTGGCTGCACACTCACTGCCCTTCCCCCGCACCCTCCGCAAAGCCCTGTCCCCGAGGAGCCGCATCCAAGGCAGCTGGGGAAGGCTGGGGCCACGGGGGAGCCAGGCTGCTGGTCCCGGAGGCACCCATCATGGCAGTCCTGACTCTTCTCTCCCTGAAACTCTCAAAGTGCTGGAGGCTCTTCCCAGAATGTGCTAGCCACGACCTCCCAGATGGCAAGGACAGAATCCTAGACATCTTTTTTTTTTTTTTGAGAGAGAGAGTGAGAGCACAAGCAGGGGGAGCGGCAGGGCAGAGGGAGAAGCAGACTCCCCGCTGAGCAGGGGGCGCGATGCAGGGCTCGATCCCAGGACCCTGGGATCATGACCCCAGCCAAAGGCAGACGCCCACCCGACTGAGCCACCGGGGCGCCCCAATCCTAGACATCTTTGTTCTCTTATCCCCCGCCACACCTAACCAAGGGCGTGGCAGGTGCTCAGAAAACCAACCAAGGAAAAATGTCAAATGCACTGCCCCAAACAACAGGCCCACTCCAGGAAGGGCGTGAGTAGCCCACAGGCCCACATGTCAGGCTCAAGGTGTGGGGACCCGTTGGCACTCATCTCCTTACCTCCTGCCTCACCTCCCCCAGGGAGGGCCTGCTGCCGTGGCCATGCATAAAGGCAAGGGTACCCGGAGAAGGCCCGCAGAGGGCGGAACAGAAGGCAGTCGCTTCTTAAATGAAGAGACCTAACAGTTTGACACTCTACTTTGGCAAAATGTTTACAGTTTACAAATGGCTCTCACACATGTAATCCTCATGAAAGGTCTGGGAGGTAGGGTCACACTTCTATTTAATGTCTTTGAGAGATGAAGTTATTTGGTAAGGAGTAGAGTGGGGCTGAACCCAGGCCTTCTCTCAAGCAGGGGCAGGAGGCTCGGGAACCACAGAAGGGGCGGAGACTTGGGCGCAGGGGTCAGGGGTGCCAAGAGGCCTCTGGCTTCTACTTGCGGGAGATTCCTGCCCAAACAAGGCCCCAAAGGCCACGAGTCAAAGACACTTCTTGGACTAATGCACTTCCTGTCTTTTGCTGCCCAGGAGGTGACCCTCTCTGTTCCTTGTCACCTTGTGGGGAGGGCAAGCAGCAATATTCCTAGGTCATAACAGTCACAAAGAGAGGGAAGTGTGTGTTTTCAGTCTTTGTGGCTTGCCAACAGTCACCCAACAAGCTGAAGACAGAGCAGGAATGATAACCACAGTCCGGGGAGCCAGCAGCCTTTGAGAAAGACAGACTGCGGGACCCCAGACCAGGCGCATCAGGCAGAAGGGCAGCAGTGAGAGGGAGTGGGCTTGTAGCTCTGGAGACCCTGCTGGCCCTGCCCATTTCAGACAGAGCCATGCCCCGCAGTTCCTCCTCTGCCCATAGATCATCAGGGCGCTGGGCCTGCAGCACCTCCAGGGCAGTCGAAGGCTTTGGTCTGAGCACAGAGCAGGCCCGCATCTCTGGCCCAAGTGAGTTCGAGCAAGAGGAGCTGACATTCAGATTCCTCACTCTACCTTCCCCAATGCCAGAGCCCAAACAGGCCCCAACTGAGTCCTCCTGACATATTTGGTTGGTCTAGATCTTTCGGTGCTCTGGCTCCCCTTGCCTCGGCCTTGTTTCCAGGGGGTTGGAGCCGGAGACCTGCAGAGACGTAGTGCCCGAGCCCTGATGGGGCAGGGTGAGGGGCTGCCGGGCAGTGATGCCCAATGCCAGGCTGGGCGTGGAGCCCAGCAGGCAGACGCTGGCGCAGGCGTGACATCATGCCCTTGGGTAGGTGCCAGTTCTCATGCCGTCACTCGCCACCGGATTCAGCGGAGTGAGGGGGTGGGGGGCAGGCTGCCTGAGCACCAATCTATTTGGGACCACCCCCTGCCCACTAGTGGAAAAGCCCCAACTTCCATACCGTCTTCCTAGTTCCCTACATCTCCTATTTTGTTCCTCTCCTGGCTTTTGTGTATGGGGTCATAGTTGCAAGAAAATAAAGTGCTAATGGCAGATGAGAAGGTTGAGGGGCTAGGGCGTGTGGGTGGCTCAGTCGTTAAGTGTCTGCCTTGGGCTCAGGTCATGATCCCAGGGTCCCGGGATCGAGCCCCGCATCGGGCTCCCTGCTCAGCGGGGGGCCTGCTTCTCCCTCTCCCACTCCCCCTGCTTGTGTTCCCTCTCTCGCTGTGTCTCTCTCTGTTAAAAAAAAAAAAAAAAAAGAAAGGTTGAGGGGCAGCAAGGTGGAATGGGGAGCAGGAAGTGTGTCCTTGAGTATCAGAGGCCTGGGGCGACAAGTATAGCCACTGGCATGGGGCCAGTGGTGCTGCTGACTCACCCCTCCCCAGAAGTCTCCACAATTAAAAGGCTGCCTGGGCTGGGGGTTGGCTCTGACAGACCCCAGAGGCAACTGAAGCCTAGCAGAGAGAGGGGAGAGTGCATCCTCTGGGACTGCTCCGAATGCTCTCCCCATTCCTGGCCCAAAGCTGTCCTACTGCTAGAAAATGAGACAAAACAGAGGGCTCTACAGCTCGTCAGGTATGTAAGCCCAGACCAATGGGGGCTACATCGTTTTCCGAGGCCCCGTAGTGCAGGGCAGAGCACTGGGAAGTGTGCTCCATTCTGAGGCCAGTTCTACCGCTGACCATGGGGACCTCAGTGCACGTCACCCCCAGCCCTGACGCAGTCTCCTGCTCTATGGTATCAGGGCTGGACTGGACACTCCAGGGCCCGCTGAGCTCTCACATCCTGGCAGAAGTCAGACTCCAGGGAAACCAGTGTCTGCAGCTCGGCTGCCCCCCTATAGCAGGACTAGAGCAGCCAAAAATGGATGGAGCTGGGCCCGGGGCCCACTGGAGACTGGAAGGGCCCTCCAGAAAGGACGCGAAAAGGCTGACTCAGGCTCTGCAGAACACACAGTGGACCTTTTCCCAGGCTGCTCTGTTCCTGACTTTAGCTTGGTCAACACTAGGCATATCAGGCACTTCTTTTGAACCATTTCAGATCTTGATTCACTTCTCCCTTATTCTGGCCACTGCTGCAGCTCAACCTGATGAATCCTGCCTCAGGCCTGGGTCACACCCGGGGCTGTGCCGCTGATGCCTTAGCCGGGGACTGCACACAGGTGTTGACATCCCACGTGGCAAACCTTTTACCAGTGTGGGATGAGAGCTAGTGGGTAAAGGTTTCTTGTCTCCAGAAAAGGCTATTCTCCCCTATAGTCCTAAGAGGCGTTTCAAAGAGCTTCTCAGTCAGTTTTAAGGGATGGGGCAGCCATGTACCCTAAGCAGTATGCAATTTGATCTTCCTTATACCTCTCCCTCCTCCCCCATGGGATTACTTCCTACTCCCTTACAAAGTACCTGCACCAAAGCCTCAGGCTCTGCTGTTAGAGAACCAAGGGCTGAGAGAGTCACCCATGTTCAAATATAAGGCAAATGGAACAAACGCAGCCAAAACACCAGTAGAAAAAGAACAGCTTGTGGCCCCTGGGGGGCGCAGTCGGTTAAGTGTCCGACTCTTGGTTTCAGCTCAGGTTGTGATCTCAGGGTCGTGAGATCTAGCTCTGCATCTGACTCTGTGCTGAGCGTGGAGTCTGCTTGAGATTCTCTCTCCTTCTCCCTCTGCCCCTTGGGCGCTTGTGTGCGCTCTCTCTCTAAAAAATAAATAAATAAGTCTAAAAAAAAAGAACAGCTTGTTGTGTGTGGGTTGACAACACTCATGGAGAGGGCCAAGCCCAGGAGCCTTTATGTCTATTAAGCATTTTTTTATTTCTAAAGCCTTTTCACAGAGATAACCCTCACGCTGACTCTGTGAGGTCAGCTAATGCAACTCAACTCCTGAACGAGGAAACCGAGGCTCTGAGAGGTTTACTGACTTGTCTCTGTTCGGGTAGCTACTGGGGGCTATGACTCTGAAATTCAAATTATGCTTTTCTAACTCCAAGTCTGAAATCTCTATTCGGTCTTCCAGTGTGAGGAGCTATCCCAGGGGTCCATGGGAAGCATTGTGCTAGGATCTAAAAACAGAGCTAAACCCACCTTGGGGAGCTCAACCCACCTTCTCCCTTTATTTGTAGTTTGATCCAAATACACTAGCAGCAGGGAAGAGGTCTGAGAAAAGTGCTACCAGAAAGTGCTTCAGGGCCACAGAGAGATGATGCGGGCTCTGGCACCGACAGACCAGCACCCCAGTTAGGCCACATATCTGTGCAAGGGGCCCTCTGAAGGACAGCTCCTCCCCTTGTCCCCCGCACACCCCTTGGGCAGGGAAACACAAGGACTATCCCTCCCTCTCTTTTCTTGATGGCCACGAGGGGGATCCTTCCTTCCAGCAGTGAAGGGCCCTGAGGGACTCTGAGGCTGGCAAAGGGCCCAGCGTGTCAGTCCCCATCACAGCCACACAGTCCAGCATGAGTCACCACACACGCAACCAGGTGAGTCATGCAGGCTGATGGACACTCTGAGGACAGGACATAGGGTGGTTGGGCACGGAGGTTGGAGAGGGGCCCAGGGAGGGGCAAAATCGCCCATCCCTTGGCCAGTCACCCAGTGAAGTTTCTAGTGCTGAAGTGGGGCTGTTCCAGTAAGAGGCCTGCTGTTCCTCCTTGGCTTTCATAGCCTGCCACTCCTCCCAACAGTCTTTCTCTCAGAAGCCCATGGTCCTCCCTAGAATCCCCTTCCCTTCCCCTAAACATAGGCAAGATCCCATCTTAACCCGATCACTCTTGCACGACCCCAACAGTCATAGACCTTCTACTCCTCTCCCCTGTAAAACTTACGTATCTCTGTGCCATCCCCTCACTTCTTAGCTAAGGTGAAAAATAAAGATGGTAACAAATGCAGGTAGGTCACTGGGTTACCTTTGTTAGGTTGCTATCCAATCACTGGATTTGGAGTAAACATAAATCCTTGATTAGTGTATTGTTTGGGGATACATACATGGATAGTAAAACTGTAAGAAAAGCAAAAGAGTGGTATAAACAAAACTCAGGAAAGTAATTATTTCTTGGCTTGTATGAGTTAGGGATAGGTGCTCAAGGGTTCTCAAGCTGGGTACTGATACAAGAGTAATCAGTTTTAATACTATTTAAACTGTACACACATGTCTTAACCATTCTTTTGTATGTTAAGATATTATTTCATGATAAAAAAAAAAACAAACGAAGAAAAATAAACTGGGGTAAGAGTCCTGATCCCAACACTTATTAGGTGTGTAATCTAATGTGGACTCAAGGGATCCTAGCTCACAGATCTTTGTGGGGACCCTATGAGATAATGTGTTGAAAGTGTTTTGCACACTCTAAGATGTTAGAGGGGCGTGTGCTATTGTTAGCTTTCTAAGTTAAGGCCTCCTGGGGGAATGCCTTTAACCCGAAGGGATGACTCCTCAGCTTTCTGAGGACTTTCAGATCCTGCTTTACAGCTACGTATACCCTTTCCTTAGGAACAACCTTGGGGACCCACCCTCCAAAGGACTGGGGAAAACTTCGGATGAGAGACAGCCAACCTTTCAAGGGGGTTCAATAGAAGCAAAAAATGAGGGAGGTTTGGTGGGGTGAGCTTCTGCCTCCCAAATCAGCCGGCTCTGGTCCCACTCAGGTCTATTCACTCACCAGCTGTCAGGACCTGTACTTTCCACGGGTGAACGGTCAGGGCTCGCTGGTATGCCCGCCAGAGTGCCATGATTCCTGTCAGGCCAAGAGGAGGGGGGCGGTCACCCCCACTGCCCCTCCCCACAATTAAAGAGACGCTTGACTTTCCTTCATGCCCACTCCCTCTCCCCAACCCGCTTCCAAAATGTCCTAGAGGGGAGAGGCCTCAGGTGGGATGCTTCCTGAACAGCTTCCTGTCACAGGGATCGTCTCAGGCAATCAGGTAATAGAGGACGGCTGTAGGCGGCTGCGGAATCTCGGTGGCAGTCACCCGCCACCCCATCTCTGAAGCAGAGCCACCTGGGGGGCCTACTTCCGTACCGAGACACTCATAAGGGCAGGTTTGCTCTTTCACCCAGAGCCTGGTCGGTCCCCACATTCAGTCTTAGTCGGAACCAGCCCGCATCCTTCCTGAGTCCAACTCCACACCAGAAATAGGGCCTGTCATTCTCTGGGCCTGGACCGGTCACATACGCTTTGGGCGCTCCAGGCACGCGACGAATTGAGCCGGGAAAGGAGAATCGCCTGGCACTCACCTGCGCTCGCGTCCTGCCCCTCCCACGTGACCGGACCCGGGAAGGACTTCCGCCGCAAGCCCCGCCCCTTCCGCCCGGCTGCCCGCGAAGCTTCCCACACACCCCCCAGCCTCCCTGGGCAGCCAGAGGCTGGAGTGGGAGTGGACTGAGCGAAATAACTCGTGGAGAATCGCTCAGCTGTCAGTCTGTGAGCAACCCCTTTTCCAAATGGACCGCGCCGGGTCTCGGTGCCCCGCCTGCCATAGTCCCTACCTGGGGCCGACCTCTGCGTCTTCATGCCCCTTCTCTTCCCGAAGCCCGGGCTTCAACCTAGAGAGACCCTCACCGCTCCCGCACCCCGGAACTGGCCAAGGTGCTGACGCCCTTCTCAGTCTCGGAAATCAACTTGGAAACTATAAGCCATAGTTAAGTGCATGTGTTATTTTTTCAGTGTCCCTGGGTCTTCACTAGCCTTGATTGTGAGCTCCTGAATGGGTGAAAATGGGTCTTGTTCGTATTTGGCATCTTCGTAGCACCTAGTTCAGCCTTTGTCCACCATGGCCTCTAGAAATGCTGTGTAAAGAGGACTCCTTCATGGAAAGCACGGGATTCCACAACCTCAGAAGGTCCTGGTACTGGTTTTGTAACTTAGTGGGCTCTACAGCCTTGGGCATCACTAGACTTGAACTTAAGGTTCCTCATCTGTTAGACTATGTTTTTCAAACTGCGCTCCTCAGTGTTAGGGGTTTATAAGGAGATGTTTTGGGGAGGTATCACTACAGGTTTTACTTTACCTTGCCTTAAATATATTTCTAGAAAGAGCCACTTTTAAATAAAGAGACCCACAACTAGAAGTGTCTGGAAATCACTAGATTAGGTGATTTCTTAATCCCTTTTCAGCTTTAACATTCTAAAATTTTGTGAATATAGTGCAACATTCTTCTGAGGGTGGTGGAAACTACTATAAGATCCCTGGCAGATGTCAGGCTGGCAGCCTTCACTTAACTATATTCAGGAAACCCACACTACAGGAAGCAGCCATACCTGATTCTTTCAGGTATATAACCCTAACCCCAAATCTCGCTGATTCATACCAGCGAGCCCTGACCGTTCACCTGTGGAAAGTACAGGTCCTGACAGCTGGTGAGTGAATAGACCTGAGTGGAACCAGAGCCGGCTGATTTGGGAGGCAGAAGCTCTAGCCCCCATTTACTCAATTCTTGTATGATTAAGACAGGGAGAATCCTGTCACAGGTACTGGAGAAACACAATGAGGAAGCAAGATAATTCGATGTCACACTTAACTTAAAGGCTCCTATATGCAAAACACCCCATGCCAGGAGTGAATTTACATTAGTAAATTAATAGGAGACCAAATGTGGTAGGATGGAAAGTTGTTCTCTGAAGTCAGACTGTCTACTTTCAAATCCCAGCACCACCACTTAGTAGACCTTATTCATACTGCTCAAATTCTCAGAATCTTATCTTTACAAGTAAAATGGGGCAATATCTACCTCATATGATTAACATATGCAAAATACCTGAAATAGATCAAGTGTTTAAATAAACACTCGTGTATGGGGCAATATCTACCTCATATGATTAACATATGCAAAATACCTGAAATAGATCAAGTGTTTAAATAAACACTCATGTATCCTCTTTTCTTCCTTCCCTCTTGAGAATACATGGGAGGGAGAATTTTTACTAGAGAAATCTGGGAAGCTCCTTGGTAAAAGGTGAAATTTGAGCTGGGACCTTGAAGGATGAATGCGGCTTATGTGGAGATGATGGAGGGAACGGTGTGAGCAAAGGTACAGGAAAGAAGTACAGAAATCCATGGATAGTATAAAATGGATACATTGGGAGGGAAGGTTGAAGTAGAATGGCCTTCAGAGGGTTTATGGTAGAGAAAGAAAGCAAGGGCTGAAAGCATTCTCCTGATTTTCTTTTGGAGGTAGAGACCAAGGCTAAGAGTCAGGAGCAGGAGCAGGGCTGCCAGCACCAACCTACAGCCTCAATAGCATGGGTCCCCAGGTCCCATCTTTTCTGCCACAGAAGGTGGAATTCCATGATGCAACGTTAAGGGCCTGCCGTGGAGAAGCAAAGCTTCTCTGCAATGGAAGGCACTTCCCTATCATCAGTCAGCTCAAAAACAAAACCGGCATAACCTGAGCTTGATCACAATAGGGCGGGTACAATACTTGCCTCCTTTGCACTGACGTGTGTTGTGATCCTTCTGCTGCTAATAGTCTGGTTGCCTCCAGGTTCTGTTTCCTCTTCCGTACAGGAAGGAAACTGAACTGCTTGATGCCTTTCTTCTTGACATACGACAAATTCCCTACACCCAAGAGGCAAAAGGCTGTTCCCAGTTATCTGGCCAACCAGTCCACAGTGCCAGTGGGTTTTGTTCCAGGTAGGCACTAAATTAATCTCCACTCCCTTCAGTTGGAGCTGGCTGTGTATTTCTCTTTTCTGATGTCATCTGACTACTTCCCCAAACTTGATTGTACTCCCATACACTCCAAGACTATGGTTTGCCTATTTCTCATTGCTGGGGTCTGTCTTTGGTTAGGAGGCAGTACTGCAGTCCCTATGAGTCTGCAGCACCCCACAAGAGGACTAACGAGAGATGTAACCATACATTACAGTACTTGGGTTTTAAACACCTCCTATATAGAGACTGGAGATAAAGTAGCTAGACATGTTTAATAAGTCAACAATGTGACAGTATCATGAAGGACCAAAAATCATGACGTGTAAAGAATGGTTAAAGTAACTGAAGATATTTAATCTACAGAAGAAAAGACTTGGGAAACACATGATAGCTATTTTTAAATATACTCAAAAAGGCAATCACAGGGAAAAATGACTAGATTTCCTAATACCCATGGTGAAATTTATAGAAGTATACTCTTTGACTTGATATAAAGGAAGATTTTTTAAAACATGACTGCCTAGGAGTGTTCAAGTAGGGTCAGACGACCAGTGATTGGGAATATTTCATAAGCAGGAGCAAGTAAGATCTGAGCCACTGTTCTCCTGGTAGGGTGTCTGTGGTGTTCCTCAGTTAAAGAAGTACTATAAGCAGCTTCAGTCCAATAAATTACTATCACCCCTCCTGGGCCTGTGTGTTGGTTACTCTAAAGAGGAAGTTGAGAAGGCAGTAATACTGGATCCTGGAATATAGTCACACAGGAGCCTTCACGTGGATACCCTCTCCAGTTCTCCAAACACCCACTCACGTGTGGTCTCAAAAACACCCAGTACCTTTACTTAGCTTTACCCACTTCACAATATGCTCAATATGAGCAATTTGACTTCCAAGCCTAGGTCAGGCCTGAGTGTTACTCATGAGCCATAGCTGTAGGCTGAGGAGCCTTGAGAGTTTGTGGAGGGATAGCCCCCCCGCCCGCAGGGGGCTGTGATGACAGAAGTCTGTGGAAGGAGAGGTATCTAAGGAGTCCTGGCAAGGCAGATCTAAAGGTCCAGGTCTGGCAGCATCACTATCCATGAAGACCCCAGTTCCTATGGCATTGTGCATGGGGGGCCATTTGTTCCTGGCAGATTTCATTCCAAAGGTCCTGTGTGGACCATGACTAGGGACCGGGCAGAAGGCGATGGCTGGTTGGAGGGAAGCCAGGCCCTTTAATTGGGGAGGACGGCTGGAACATAGCACTGAAGTGGGCTCGACTCTCAAGCTGCATACGGTGGCCCAGGGGTGAGGTGAGTCCACGGACAAAATGGATCCGAACCAGCCCAGACTGTCCCCCAGATACCAGCCATCCATAGGAATCCAGGTTTGGGCTGAAGCGGACCTGGGAAGAGAATTGAAAACAAGAGAGATGTTCACAGTTGGTGCTTTAGGGTGAATCCTAGCTGTAAGGGGGGAGAAAAAGGGCGACAATATGAAAGGATAGGACCATGATGGGGTAAGAGAGGCAGGAAAGAGGTAGGTCTATCACGCTCTGGAGGATCAGGTTGCCAGAGCGGTCTTCCTTCCTTCCCTCTGCTACCTTTTCATCCCCCGTTTCATTGATCATAGCTTCAGAGTTGGGAGCAAATGAGAGTGAAGAAGGTGGAGAAGATGAGAGACAAGGTTTTTACCTTGTGAATAGCCTCTAGCTGCAGCCTGTCCAGGCAGAGCTGCGAATGCCCCTCTCCTTCCTGCATGCGCAGCATTGGCTCCCTGTGGAGGAGATCATGGAAGGAACCCTGGGGAGGAGGGAGAAAGCCAGCAGCTTCTCAGTCTTGCATCTTTGTGCTGCAACTCCTTACAATGCCCTACTGTACCAGGACTAAAGTTTTCTTTTTTAAAAATGCCACACCCATTCTCCTGGCCTCAATTTACCAAATCTGTGTCTTGAAAGAGCAAGTAGTGATGGTTGACAGTTTCAGCGTAAGTTCGAGCTTTGGGAGGGTTGGGGGCCTCAGATGAAGTAGAAGAATGGTCTCGACCTTCAGGGCTGTCCTGATACGGCATCAGATCTGCTTTATATATAGGCTAGAAAGGAGACCATGAGATTAGGTCCTATAATACTGGAGACAGAATAAAAGAG